ATCCTGAACGATCGGTTTTCGTCGGCGTGTAAATTGCGACCGATTATGAAGATTACAGGTGTCGTAACCGCCTTCTCGCTTCCACCGTCCAATCTGTCGAAAGTGAACGGTTTTATTATACATGCATATACCAATGATAAACACAGGAGGTGACAAAACTGACTGTCAGAACACGCAGCCTGAATATGTTCACTTGTTGGCAAATATAAAAATGAAATAATGTTTTGTAACGCAGTAACAGATTCGATCCCCGTTTAATCATCGATTTTATATTTGCATTATAAATGCTTAATAAAATCGGTGTAATGAGATTTTCTCTACATAAAAGTTTTATCACGTATCGGCACTTTGTAATCGAGGTGGTAAAATCGCAAACGGAAAGGGTTCATTAAGAATCAGTCACGGCAATGACACGAGTCGGTATCCCGAAATTAATGAGCATAAGAGTATTCATATTGACGGATATAAAATGCGAACATCCCGCAGGAATTTACGACTTCGCGCCGTGTACCGAGTAAATACAATTTACGAAGATTGAATCCCTTATCGCGTTCGCTTGAGAACATTCCGGAATTTTACGTCCCGTAAAGTGGCACCGATCGTCCGCGTCGACACGCTCGCGTTTTCGCGACACCTCGGTTCTCTTTATCATCGACCGTTCGTCCGAATTTATTGGAATTGTTCTGGGCAGAAGAAATTCTTTACATTTCTCCGTTCCATAACGAACCGAGTTTATTTATTTCAGAAGAACCATAAACCAGGATTAGATTTTCAATAATTTATACTCTACGATGGTGGTTCGAATATTATAATAATAGAAAGCCGTTTTGGTAAATTGTACGTAGCCAGCGTGTGCAGATAATTTTGCAATCCGAATGCCAATAGCGTTATCTTTCCACGAATCGGTCGAACTAATCCTCCGCGATATAAGAACCGCGTTACCTTTCTGAAATATTAAATTTCAGGGAACACGCGTGTTCCGCAAAGTTCAGGCGGTAGGAATCGCGTGTTGCTACAACGAACGGTAAATTCGATGCTGAGGTTCGAGCCGGTAACGATCGCGGATGATTTTTTACGGTCGCGTCCACTGGAAATACGGCCGATGGAATCCCCGGCGCTATTCTATTGGAATTGGCATCAGGGGTAAACACGCTCGGCCGTGCCGCCGCGCAACGATCGACACATCTCAGGATCGTGTGTAAATAAATTGTCCGCAACTTGGCGGTGCACCGGACCATATTCACCTATTACCCTTTCCGGTGAGCTTCTCTGTACGCTTTGAAACCGCGTACGCGGATTCTTTATAGGCCTTTCGAAGTCATTAACTCTCCGTTATGCGCATCGTTTATTATTCTGAATTTTTTTTTCTTATCAACGTGGCTACGCGGACAATAAGATAAATTTTCTAAGCAATTGTTGTTTGATGCATTGGGTATTTAACGTTTTTATATAAATACATCCACTCCCATGAGAACGTGAATTACGAGTTAAAATACAGTATAAATATAAATGCTTTATTACGACCTTTGATCACACATGGTATAAAGCCAATTTGATTGTCCAATATCTCACTGAATTATCAAAGAATCTTCTAATCTCGGTTCCGTCGATAAACCAATTTCACCTGACTCCGATACACCTACATACCCGGCATAATCATATCCCGGATTCCATTTTATCCGCACGAGAGAAACCATTCGGCGAGAGAGAAAATTTTCCCATGTGGACACGCACCGGCAGGAAACGCGGTTAATGGAATCTGTAATGGTGTTCGACGGGGATCGGCATCCGAGCGGCGGCGGTCGGCCAGATATAGGATAGCGCGTGGTCGCATCTCAGGATCGCGCGTAGATTTTTCCTGAAACCCGTTTCGTGACCTCGCGCACGCCGCACTCGAATCCTACGACGATCCTGCCTACGCGCCCCGATCTCTGTCCTCGTTTCCGAACGCTTCCTCGATCGGTTGCAAAAATTAGCGACATCCTTCACACTTTTGGAAGTCAAATTGCTTACTGCCAATCGTAATCTAGCAAGATTGTCCGTCATAATATCCTTCAGATAAAATATTGAAAGTAAATTGTGATTATTATAGAAGAGATGAAAAAAACGACCGTTCGTCCGAATTTATTGGAATTGTTCTGGGCAGAAGAAATTCTTTACATTTCTCCGTTCCATAACGAACCGAGTTTATTTATTTCAGAAGAACCATAAACCAGGATTAGATTTTCAATAATTTATACTCTACGATGGTGGTTCGAATATTATAATAATAGAAAGCCGTTTTGGTAAATTGTACGTAGCCAGCGTGTGCAGATAATTTTGCAATCCGAATGCCAATAGCGTTATCTTTCCACGAATCGGTCGAACTAATCCTCCGCGATATAAGAACCGCGTTACCTTTCTGAAATATTAAATTTCAGGGAACACGCGTGTTCCGCAAAGTTCAGGCGGTAGGAATCGCGTGTTGCTACAACGAACGGTAAATTCGATGCTGAGGTTCGAGCCGGTAACGATCGCGGATGATTTTTTACGGTCGCGTCCACTGGAAATACGGCCGATGGAATCCCCGGCGCTATTCTATTGGAATTGGCATCAGGGGTAAACACGCTCGGCCGTGCCGCCGCGCAACGATCGACACATCTCAGGATCGTGTGTAAATAAATTGTCCGCAACTTGGCGGTGCACCGGACCATATTCACCTATTACCCTTTCCGGTGAGCTTCTCTGTACGCTTTGAAACCGCGTACGCGGATTCTTTATAGGCCTTTCGAAGTCATTAACTCTCCGTTATGCGCATCGTTTATTATTCTGAATTTTTTTTTCTTATCAACGTGGCTACGCGGACAATAAGATAAATTTTCTAAGCAATTGTTGTTTGATGCATTGGGTATTTAACGTTTTTATATAAATACATCCACTCCCATGAGAACGTGAATTACGAGTTAAAATACAGTATAAATATAAATGCTTTATTACGACCTTTGATCACACATGGTATAAAGCCAATTTGATTGTCCAATATCTCACTGAATTATCAAAGAATCTTCTAATCTCGGTTCCGTCGATAAACCAATTTCACCTGACTCCGATACACCTACATACCCGGCATAATCATATCCCGGATTCCATTTTATCCGCACGAGAGAAACCATTCGGCGAGAGAGAAAATTTTCCCATGTGGACACGCACCGGCAGGAAACGCGGTTAATGGAATCTGTAATGGTGTTCGACGGGGATCGGCATCCGAGCGGCGGCGGTCGGCCAGATATAGGATAGCGCGTGGTCGCATCTCAGGATCGCGCGTAGATTTTTCCTGAAACCCGTTTCGTGACCTCGCGCACGCCGCACTCGAATCCTACGACGATCCTGCCTACGCGCCCCGATCTCTGTCCTCGTTTCCGAACGCTTCCTCGATCGGTTGCAAAAATTAGCGACATCCTTCACACTTTTGGAAGTCAAATTGCTTACTGCCAATCGTAATCTAGCAAGATTGTCCGTCATAATATCCTTCAGATAAAATATTGAAAGTAAATTGTGATTATTATAGAAGAGATGAAAAAACGTCATCCACCTGTTGTCTCATTTTTGTATAATTTCAATTCACGACTGAGAGAGCCAGACTGTGAGGTGTCGGGGAACACGAAGGAGGAACCAATCGAGGACGTGTGAATGATACTCGTTGACCGTTAAGCCAGGCGATGGAGGATTTTATGATCAGCGTGAAATTTAGCGAGTAACGAAAAGCAGTGTGAAAATAAAAGAATTTCAGAGAAACCGCAAGGTCTCGTACCACGTCGATATTTGGGGATATCTTAAAATTTCTGTAAAAATTGCGGGGGACTCGTGAACGTATGAATACTTTTACGTATCGCTGCTTCTTAACGAACACTTGCAGGCAACGTTTATGGCAGCAATTATAACAGTTACAGTATGAAGCAATAAACGATGACGTGCTTCGTTATGCATTTAAAAAGAATTTGATAACGACTTCGACTTACTTTCTATGGTTATCCTCTTTATGGAGTGCATGTAATTTATGCTAACAAGGTTTCATCTTTAACCTTGGTTCAAATTGCGACAAGAATATTTTAATTAAAGACGTTGTCGTCTATGTGTCGGTTGTCTTGTAATCATATTTCCAGCACTAATTCATAATTCATTAAAAAAAAAATGATTATTTTTGTAAAACATCGGCAAGATCAGAATGAAAGAGGCTTTGGATCGAAGGGTTTTTTTCGGATCTACGAAAGGGTGCCTTGACTAGATAAGGAGCGTGGATCGAGCTTCCTGAACCGTAAATACGACGGCGCTAATAGCTTCGTTTTATTATAGTCCCTTGAGCCCGGACACCTGATTTGTTGCCGTACGTCAGAGTTGAATACGTTCACGACAGTGGAACAGGTATAACCGCGCGTAGGCGGACACTTGAACCGACAGCTGCTCTTTCACTTGCCACGTGAGAATTTAGTTTCTACGCAATGTAGTTTGAGACCCGTCCGTCGAACAGGGTTATAGAGTACGCTTTAAAAGAGGATAAATGTCACTGAAACGAGCGACGCCGGTGATGCGCCGTATTCTCAAGTTTCGTGATATGGCAAACCCCGTGCACGTTCGTTTTTCGCCAGACGTACGAAACGTCTTCGCCGATCGTAGGAAATAATGTCGCGCAATTAATGTTGCCATCGTGTTATTAAGTGCTATCGACGTTAACTCGAATTCCCTTCTCTCCGAATCCGTGTTCGATCCGTGTTTTAGGTATACGTACGCTTGTACGGTTTTGCAATATTCTACTTAATTCGAATCAAGTGTTTACTTTATGACGTAGAGACATTATATCTTTATTCATCGTTATAATTCGTAAATGAAAATGAATGACCAGTTGACACTTTTGTAAAAAATAATTAATTTCGTTCGTCTGATAAAATTCTTCTCTCGATAAATAAAATCGACGATCCAAATATCGTGTACGAACGAAATTGCTGTAAAAATTGTAGACTTACGTCATCCCTGTCCTCGTGGAGATCGTCGTCGGCGCTCTCCTCGAGGACAAAGCCCACGTCGTTGTTGTTCCTGGTGAGCGAGGGCAACTTCCTGGGTGTCAGCTCCTCGCCGTCCGTGTCTCTCTTGCGCTTGCCGCCGTCCCTGTGCTCGTGGTTCAGCGTGGCCTCGTGCTCGTCCAACATGTCGGTGACCATCAGTTCCGACTCGACGCTCGTCGGGGACACGACTTCGTCCAGCGGTGACATCGTCGTTCTGTCGGCCTCGCCGGTTTCCAGCACGGACATGTTGAGCCACTTTTCTCGATGCACACGCGGATGCCTCCTCGGTCACGATCACCGGAATTCGCGGACGCTCGACTATCGTCTTCGACGTTACGCTCAGAGGTGGCAACCAAGCACCTCCACTCTCGTGAGTACGGACGTTCATAGAATCTTCCGAATCTCGACCAGCGCCTTATTTCACTTCGTTCGCCATACGATTTTTAATTATTCACAATTAATCCTGAGAGTGAAAACAGTAAGTTCACCCACGACGTTTCTACTTTATTATAGTCGCGCAGTCATTCGTCTGCAATTGTTTAATTATCAACGGCCAACGTTGAGATGGTAAAAATATCGAATTGTCATCCGATGATCAGGAATGTTTCTCCCACGGTTCCGATTCGCGACACGGTTCTCTATCAATCACTCTCCTTTCGAATCCGCCTACTACGAACTCCTGGCCCGTTGACATTCGATCGGAGTTATACTCGTCCGACGAAACTGGCTTTCATTAATCACTTTCCTCGACGGAACTTGTCTCTCCGGTGTACGCCGCCCCGTTGACGTTCGTTAAGGCCACCAGATTCGTGATCCACAAAGGAAAGAGCAGCTCGCGTTCGTCCAGCCCAGAAGACAATGGGCTGATAAATCGCCTGTCCTCGATAACGGTGCCGCTCACCGCTAAACAGATTCCCGCCGGGGCACGTCCAATTTTCCAAACGAGCGTGACCCTCTTTTTCCTCCCAACCGGTGGAAACACCTGCCACCTGAAAACGCGGGGCTCTCGATCGCGGACGATTCGATTCGCAATTAAAAATCGCTTGAAACACGCTATTCAAATTATCGAACTACGAACTGATGTTTCTCAACTGAATATTTATCAGTTTCAAAGATTGATTATGCAATCATTATTGAAAGACGTTATTCAAGTTGTCATGATATCAGCACCACCGTCTCTGTTTAACGATTCTCAGAATGAACGATGAACATTACAGAATCGTGACGTTTCATTTTCTCTATCATCTCAAAGATTGAGGAACATTTCATTTTACGATATAAAGAATTTAAAATTATTTTCAATTCACTATTAAGGTGATCGGGAAAGATCGATACTGTGGAACGTGGTTTTAAAACCCGACGTAAAACGATCCCGCGGCGCGCGTCTCTCTGCGGGCATTAAAGTCGCCGGCTGTCCACCGGTTCTGCTGATCGATGACGCAGGAAACCTGAATTCTTTCGCCCGGTCCGTTCGGCTGAATAACGCGTCGACCGACGTGTAATTAAATCGTCAGAAATTACAGAAATCGCTGCAGCTCGCGTTAAACGATGCGGCCATCGTCGTATCGATAGATCCATATCTGCGATGCGATCAGAAGCATCATTGATCAGGTTATTTCCATGCGCGCTGGACGACGGGCACTATTCAACGTGATTTTGCTAGCGACGCGTTGGCGCGACGCAAAAACGTAAACGGTGAGCGTGGTCACGTGGCGAGCTCGCTTGCAACGTTCTTTACCGGCGAAACCGTTCTCACATTCAGCTCGGCCCGATTTCACCGCGGAGTCGACTCGCGGTCCGCTACCGGTAATGAGATTGCACCGATCGATTCGCGAACACTTCCTGCCGGCATCACGACTCCCTCGGCTCGATACCTCGTGCACCACGATCCGCACTCGTCCATTCTAACTTCGATCTTAACGAGTCAAACCATCATAAACCTTTCTTTAATTCATTCATCAAGTTTACAACTTTCACTTGTCTGGTTTCGTACAATTACTCACTTCTCGCGTTGCACCGTTCATTCATACCGGCGACTGATTTACTGGTCAGGCAATTCTTCAGGATCTCAGTGTCCGGTCAAAATGGATTTGACACAACAATAAAAGCGAACAGCAGCCGTGATCCTTTGACCGATATGGAGGATATCGCGCGCGGAAACAGCGGTTACGCAACAGGTCGATCAACGTCCACGTCGAATCATCCTCGAACGGCCGATCCCTCGGGCGATGTCGGATGTTGACGTTCCAAGATCCACGGTCTCTATCTCGGTCACGTGGTCGCCGGTGTCACGTGGGGGCGGAGGATGCGGGGCGAGAAGATCCACCGGAGGAAGCGGGGTCGAGACCGAGCAGGAAGAGGTCGATTCGAAGTTTCACACGAGTAACTGTTTTTTCGAAAAATCCGAAGCTCGGTTAAGTCACGTAGAAATCCGAGTATCGGTCGAAGGTCGACGAGGACCGATCGTGTGACACCACGTAGCCGCGCGCACCTCTCGAGAATGGCCTAGAGGCGAAAAGAGGAAAGGATCTCCTCGAGTGGCGCCGCCCGCGGCAGGAGGGGGCAAATCTCTCTCCTGCGAGCCGAGAGCAAGTGTTGCCGGGCCCACCACCACCGTCGACGGACCTCTCGGCGACCACCACCATCATCGTCTCGGGCACCACCACCATCGGGCACCAGTCGGCCACGATACCATCGGTATCACCATCACCGCAGCTTCGTCCACCTTCGCGAGAGAACGTCGTACGTGCACGTTCGCCCGTCCCGTTCTCCTCCTCGAGATCCTCTTCCTCCGTGACTGTCCACTCGGTCTCCCCTCCCGTGCCGGCAACTTGTCTCCTCGACCAGGCTGGACCGCTTGCCGCCTCGCTTTGTCCCGATGCTGCTGTCTCATGCCTGAGAGACGTATCGATGATACTTGCTCGATACTACGATTTACTAGAACCACTTCGCCTCGTGCACGCGCATTATTCCATTTTCTTCTGCTTCTTCCAGTCCTCCTTTTTTTCCAGTCCACACGCCCTTTCATCCTTCCATCTGCACGATTCCGTTCGATCAACCTGATTCTCGAGGGGCATTGCCAGTCTCTTATCTTTATGCTCTCGGTGTCTCGCTTATCTTCGCATTGTATAATATACGTATGGCATACCGGTACGATCTCCTTTGCAGAACTTATCGTTATGCAAGGGAACGAGAGATAGGAATTGATTTAAATTATTGAGGCATGAAATTGGCAGAAGTCAGAGACACTTGTTGCCAATATCTCATCCAATCTATCTAACGGATTCTCTACTCGTAACAGATATTTCCATTCATGTACTGATAATATGTAGCGACAGTGTTCGAGACAATAAAATTGTGTTCTCCAATCTCGAATCAAGTTCAATGCCCCCGACACGAACCTTCAAATCAAATATTCTATCCTATTACTCTTCATCGGATACGCGTCTAGTAGCAGTAGCAATCTCCTCATTCGCCAATTTTCGCACCATTACGTTCCTATCAATCAAACCATGCCGCTCCAAACGATATCAAGGGTATTCCTCGCGAATCGTTTCTCCATCTCACGTTTACGATTTGCGCTCCTCGTAGATAAGCGTGACAGTAGAACTCGCCACCTCGAGATCTTGTCGTCACTTTGAATCGCAACCAACTGCACGGCGATCGATGCATTCTTTCGATCGATTTCAGGACCGGTCCGTTCGACCACCCTTCCGTTTCTTTCTCTCGCTATCTCCGTTCACTGGCTGCTCTTCCAATTAGCATCCGGTAAGTAGAACTGAGAGGTTTCGTTGCTTTTAGTATGTAGCGAATCAATAATTCAGCATGCGCGAACACATTTATTGAAGTAAAAATTGCTCGTAAACGTGGATGTTCGCGATTGATTCTTATACAGACGATGGTAACCTAATCATATATGAAGAACTTGCAGAGTCGACATTTCTTCGGTTCGACTCTAGGCACAGTATCGGGAATCGTAGTATACGTATGTAATCGTAATGGCGTCGATACTCGATCGACCGGTTTATCTTTGGACGAGCGAACACGTTTGAAAATGAAATGTTAAAGGAGATTAGCATAATCTTCGAACGGGGATGCGCACTAATAAATTCTGCTACACACAGTTCTTGTTGCACTATTAACCGAAGGACAATGATAATTCTGAATACTTCAAATCGTCTGATAATTTAAAACGTTTAATGAACTTTAATTTGACGCGATATGAGTTAATTAAATAGACAGAATTCGAAACGAGACGTAGTGTGCAATTAGAGCCGCGACTTTTATTTAACTCTGATATTTTTATGAATAACGCGTAGCCGAGGGAGAAAAAAATGTCGGCATCGTGTGACAGGGGGAAATTCCTCCATACGTTAACCCAAATATGAGCAACGGCGAACGTGAAATAAGACGCTCATTAAGAAAGAATGTTTTACTCGGAACGGTTAGCAGCGTGGCGGGTATATACTATAATTTAAACTGCAATAAACTTGCTTAGAAGCACACGCCGTTGTGCGTTACGCACCGCGACTTAATATTGTTGCAAAAAACCAACAAACGAAACGACCGAACCAATTCCGCGGCCGATTTATGACGGAATAATTGAACCGTAATCGGTGATGAATTGGTAACGATTACGTCACAAGTGCCAGTTCTACAGAAATGCTATTACGATGATGGCTGATTATACGCTTGCAATTAGGGAATCCACTGTAGCTTTGCATGTTTTTCTTCCGACAGATTCTTGTCTGTAAGAGAAGATTGTTCACGACGTTTTATACTTGATATCTCGTCTGTTCCATGGAATTTTAATTATGAATTTGAAATTAAGAAATTTATTCTGGATTTGCATATTTTTATTATAATTGTATTCGATTCCTTAAAAATCTTGAATAGCTGATAATTCTTGTTTTACGAATTTCTAACGCTCTTCGTATTAAGCACAATGTCTCGATCCGTTCCCTTTAAATTTTCGCAATCTCTTGAAACAATTCCCGTTTCCGAGTTTCCCTTTGTTATCACAGGGATCGATATCAAGCCTTTAACGAGTGAAAATATTCGGGTCAGATGAATAGCGACTGGGAACTGAACGGACCTTGGAACCGAAGCTTCCAAAGGAGGCTGGTCCGTCCGGCATACCAAGACAGATCACCTCTTTTTTCCTTCTTTCCTCCCTCCACTTTATGCGCACCTGTCCATCTCGGACGGATGGTATTCTGATCTCGTTTCTCTGAGCTCCTCCTAACTCTCTCATCCAATTGAATCGTCTCATTTTTTTTCATATCAAACTTACCCCCTACAGAATTTCGTAATCTTGGTGAATTAATAAAATATTTGAATGTGTGAAGTATAAAATATATTATGAACATTTGTCATAATTCGTATCAAAATTGATATTAAAAATATTTAAATTAACGTTCCANTTATTATTTATTCTATTGTACATTTTTTTTTTGACACTGTTTCTTCAGCAAGGAGAGGATTGTCGCGAGAAAGTCACCCACGTGCGTAATTATGAGATCACTGCCGAAAGCAGCGTGGATCCGTGTCGAATCGCGAGGGAACGAGAGGCGGGCAAAGGCACGGTGTGGAACAAGCAAAAAGAAAGAATGGTTAACGAACTCGTTCGACGCATTCCCCCGTGTCAGGATACAAGGGGAGATACGTCGACCGTGTTACAAGAACTGCTGCTCGATATATCGTGACGTAAGCGGGGGAATTTCGAACGCGTACGCTTCTATGAAAGTGGAACGCCGCACGTTTCTCGTGATTTACAATGTGTTACCTCAAATAAAAATAGATCCGCCGTGCTCTAGAAACGACTGCAACCGCAATGTTTAGAAGTTGTTCGCAAAAATATGAATTACAATTTCGCAAGCATCTTTTCAATTACGTGAGACCAGACGCTCTTTCAATATACAGTTTGAAAAATTTTAATACATCCATAGATTATTGGAAATTGTTAAAAAAAAGACGGTATAGAATTCTCTGTCAATTTCGAAATTGGAAGAACACGAAACGATGAACTCCGAAAAACTGTCGCAATTTAGTAATTGCGTAGGTGTAATACAGATTGTTATTTACTAATGGAGAAATGAAAGTGTAAATGATGACGGTTTGTTCGATCACACGAATGCAAGAGATGTTCTCCGAATCATAGGAAAATCCCGGGTGAAGGAAAACAGCATTAACCTCGAGTAACCCGTGGCAATAGCAAACAGAATGGACGCGGGAATTCACCCCACGCGCGTTCGCGTGTCGATCGTCGAACGGCAATGGTGAGATACATTTTTCAGATTAGGATTGCTCGATAATGGTGAATACGTCTCTCGGCGGGTAGGAGACGGGGACACGCATTGACGTCCCTCCCCGGAGAAATCTTTGAGCATATTTTCACGTCTCTTGTAAGGGTGTCTCTGCCGGATGCAGATAGCGACGTCCGTGTCGCACAATATGTGGCCACGTATGGGAGCCGCACAATGTCCCTGATGGTAAAGGCCATCCAACCTGCACGATACGACGTAATACTGGCTCTGCTCGGATAATATATTGCTGTACAAATGGCACGACGACGTCCCCGTCCGCCTCGCCCCGACCTACCTGTATCCGCTTATCTCCGCTCGATTTTCTCGCGAGCTGTTCCCGTCGCGTCGGCTTTCCGATGCCCCGAGACACGTGAAAAATTAATTCGTCGAATCGATTCGCGTTTTATCCACGAGCTTGCGAGAGACGAGGCTGGACGCGTATTTCTTTCAAAAGACGACAGAGTCAAACATCGCGTTTTCAGCAGGATAAAACATCTGCAAACGAGAGAAAGAAACGGTTGATGCAAGTTAACGCGGTGCACGAGCGCTGATATCTTGGCTGAAGATCGTAGGTGAAGTTTAATGAGATAAGTGAGAGAGCTGCGGGGGATGTGTGAAGGTTAATGAGATCAGGATGATAGAGTTTGAGAGCCGCCACGTATGCTGGCTCGTGTAATTTCGAAGATAGTTCCCGGAACTCTAACAAAATTTGTAATTAACGTTGCGAGCCCGGAAAGTTGAGTAAACATGTTGCGGAGCATTAAAAACCGCTTTAAATCTTACTTAATGCGTTCTTCCCTCGTTTGCCTTCTACTCTTGCTTTTTATTAATCTAGGCGAAATTATACCCATCGTCTGTGTTGTACGAAATCATTCACGTGGACGGTACGAACTTTTTGTTTTACGTCAAATTGCTTTAAACGTTTTGCGTTTCCCTATTAAATTTCGTAAACGACTTCTAGTCGATCGATCAGGAAACAATTTAAACGAGAAAAGCAGAAACGAATGCGGGGCAGCGATTACCAGAAAATCACGTTGCCAATTGCGTGTCGCTGGATCGAACGGACGTTGCGATCACGATCCAGACCCCCCGACCATTGCTGTATCTCTTCTTATCCCGGCCAATGATAATGGTAAATAGGCGTGGTCTGCGAGATTTGTTATTACAATCACGTCTCTTCGACCACGCGATTAGACTCGAATTGCGCGAGTCTTCGAGCGCGGCCACGATTATTACGGAATCGAGCCCACAGATTTCCTTACTCAAACTCATCTCGCTGGCGAGTTTCTTTTTGTCGATTTTCGCCATATCCAACGGAATTAGCTACCTTTTTCAATAAACGTGTTCTTGCTTCAGTTCCATTGCAGGACATGCGTGCAACCAGTCTTATTAAATTCCCACGTAATTTGTGAATAAGAAAATTATATTTGAATTGATCGAACAAGATTCTACAAGATAATTTAACGAATGTACCTCAATAATTAAGAAATAAAAGATGCTTCAAGACACGACTTGGTCATTTCGTTTCACTGCCTTAAATCATAAATACGTATGCACCCTGCTTTGTTCGTTCGAAGCGAGTACCAGGAAGAAAAGAAGGCTTGGTCGAGAAATAGAAAGAGCAAAACGAGACACGGTTCGATTCTACTCGGCCATTAGGGCACACAGCATCCATTCCTTGCGGTTTCGCGATCGAGAAACGAGTCGATCAGAATCTCGTTGCCGCGATATTCGTATTCGCCTCATCCCCAATTCTTTCCTCCTTCGAAACGATTCTGTCTCGATCGGTCGAACCGTTGCGTTCGCCATTCGGTACGATAGATCACGCGGATAAGTCCTCCGGATCGCGACTTCGTGATCCCATTGAACGTGGATGACGAGCTCTGACGCCGTTATGGAAGTTCTCAAATGCCGCGCGATCCTTTATGGGAGATTTAAAGATGCGTTCTTAATAGACTCGGGCCTTGTTACGCGCTCGAGTTATGGGGTTGTGTGAAATAGATATCTGAAGTCAGGTAAAGCTCGATGGGAATCCGTCAGTGAAACGGTACGATGATTGATGA